TATATATATATATATATATATATATATATATATATATATATATATGGTGTGTGTGTGTGTGTGTGTGTGTGTGTGTGTGTGTGTGTGTGTGTGTGTGTGCGTGCGTGCGTGCGTGCGTGCGTGCGTGCGTGCGTGCGTGCGTGCGCGTGCGAGTGTGCGTGTGTGTTTCGCTCTCTATGGTGCTTAAGTAAAAGTATAAACCCACGTTAATATTGTAGTTAAAACGTTTTCAATGACACCCTCGATGTGTCCTCGACCGATGCCATACACGACAGATACGACATATACGACCGTCTATTACTTTCTACTTCGGAGTCAAAATTTGATTTCAGAAGTAGAATCGTTCATAGATTTCCTCGCGATCGCAAAGTTGCGATTCAAGTTAGATATCTAGAGTGGCGCCATCGCATCGAACGCGCTTGCATGAGCTAACATCGTAATTTAAGCTAAAGAAAATATTTCTCATTGGGAATCCAACATCACATAGAGGCGCTCGATCCAGATATAGCGGTTGGGTTAAATACGCAGAATCGCGAGCGAGCGAAACGAGGGGACTAGAAATTAATTAGTCGTATGAACGGTGTTCATAGCGAGATGGTCATTGTGAAGGAATATAGACATCGTGTGATGTATACCGCGACGTGTTTTGGTTCGTATTTAGCTCTAGAACTGTATAGCCCTTCGCTAGGCACAGGGCCGTGGCAGAGCGAAGGGCTATCGTTTTAGAGCTACTTCGTGTTATGCTCGGTCCCACGGATCATGGCCAGATCATAACGATCGGCTACTATACAACGCTCGACACGATCTAATAACATAAATACCTGACTGTTGACTTTGAATAAATTCTAATTATTTTTATTTATTTCTGATCATATATACTTCCGCAGGTGTCACCTTATTGCTTTCGCTGATGGTATTTCTGCTACTCGTCGCAGAGACTATGCCGGCCACGTCCGACGCTGTACCTCTCATAGGTAACGTAGCACGCAACCTTTTCGTAGTGTATACCACTGGCGCCCACAGGTCTTAAGAAAGTAGAAGCACAGAAGGATAAAATCCTCAGTGATAATAAAAAGCAAGCAATCTGGTGAGTCTTGCGAGAAAGATTTAGGAACAAAATTTTTTAACCCAAAATTTACTGGAAGCACTGTGCTTCCAGTGCTTCTATCGGCGGGCGCCACTGGTGTATACCCTCACGGCACTTGCCGTGGATGCCAATTGGCGATTATACTTCGTTACATCGCTGAGCATGCTCGACGCAAGCGTTCAGACTATATAGAGAGGCTGCTTAAAGCAAGGTGAACTGCAGATTCCAGATCTAGAGGAATGTCAACAAGCCCAAAATGACGGCGACGATCGCAGTGTGGCGCGCACATCGTTGGTATACCATATGGCGGTAGAACGGCGTCGATTAATCTTACACTGTATTATGTACAGAAGCCATATAATTTTGACTACTGAGTGATGCGTGGTATGGTGTGTAATGGGCTTAATAGTTTTACTCTGTTGCACGCTGACATTTAGAATCGTGCAAACCATCCATTTCCTTCAGATGTCAATTTCGTGTCCCTCGCCGTAATGAGTATTTACATAAGATTCCAACATGGCCGAGATGTGGGAGGGTCTTAGGAACACAATAATTCACAAGTGCACGCACATACGCTTGGGTGGTACGATTCCATCACGTATCTTCGTTATCTCCAAATATATGAGTGATCACTTCGTAAATCCATTGAAAACGCTATCGTGTAATTTTTATTTTCGCAGTAGATTAACGCTCCGAACCTAGACTGATTCTAAGCCATTGTTCTCAACAAAGACTGATGTGGCATACAAACGTATATAAACGTGGAACGTTGTCCAAAAAACTTATCCGATTAATTATTGGGGCGACTTACAAACATGATAGGTTTACTCTTATTTGCAAAGAGAAGGAATCTCATGTAAATAACCTTACGGTCAACGCCATTATAACGAATGAGCGAATGAGTTAAATGAGCTGTAGTAATGGCGAACATAAACCAGAGAGTCAACCAACGCGTTTACATCAGTCATGTAGTTCAGTAATAGTATATTAAACGACTATTTCGAATCACTGGACTAATTCGGAAAAACTGGAGAACGGTCTCGTTCTAGTTTATACACATCCGTCCGTCCTAACCGCCTACCCACCCGCTGACCCCCTACAACCTATTTGATTCACACAACCATTCACCAACCTACTCACTCTCCAACTTAGCAAAAAATTATGTAATTGAAATTTGTTTAGTTTGACGCGATTTTAGGACCCAATAGCCTTCCATAGACAAATGTTGCGAATTTTTGTGCGACAGAATTTGTGAATTCATCCCAATTTCTTCAACCTTTTATTAATCCAGCATTCATTCATACATACATTCACACATCCATCCATCCATCCATCCATCCATCCATCCATCCATCCGGATCAATCCATTGCCATTCCATCATGCCATCAGCATCCATCCATAATCCATCCATACCATCATCCAATCCATCATTCCCATTGCCATCCATGACCATCCAATCATCCCATCCTCCATTCATTTCCGTGCGCGTCCAATTCCATACCATCCATTCCATCCATCCATCCATCCATCCATCCATCCATCCATCATCATACCTATCATATATCCATCCATGCCATCCATCCATCCCTCCATCCATCCGATCATCCAATTCCTCCATCCCATCATCCATCCATTCCATGCCATCCATCTGAATCCATTGCCATGCATCCATCCCACTCCATCCATCTACTCCATCCATCCATCCTCACCATCCATCATGCCATCCATCCCATCCATTCCTCATCCATAGCCATCCATACCACTACCCTCTATTCATGACCATCCAACCATACCCCCCCATCACATCCCTCATTCATCCCCATTCCATCCATCCATGGCTATCCATCATCGCACCGCCATCATATCCATCCATCTATCCATCTATCCGAGTCCATACCATCCACCCCATCCATCTAATTCCATCTATCCATGGCCCATCCATCCTACCATCCATCCAGCCATCCTACCATGCCATCCATCCATACATCCATCCATCATCCATCCATCCATACCATCCATCCATCATCCATTCATCATCCATACGCATCCATCCATCCATCCTACATCGCATCCATCCATCCAGTCCATCCATCCATCCATCCATCTCCATCCACCATCCATCCATTCCATCATCCATCCATCGTTCCATCTATCCATCCATTCGAATCTATCCTCCATCCATCCATCCTCCATCCATTCAATTCCACACCCATCTATCCATCCATTCATCATCCATCCATCCATCATCCATCCATCCATCCAGTCGCATCACCATCGCATCTATCCATCCATCCATCCATCCATTCATCCCTGCCATCCATCCATGCCATGCTCACATCATCATCCATCCATCATCCATCCATCCATCCATCCATCCATACACCATCATCCATCCATTCCATGCCATGACCATCCATCCATCATCCATCCATCCATCCATCCATCCATTTCCATCATCCATGCCATCCATCCATCCATCCATACCATCCATCATCATCCATCTCATCCATCATCCATCCATCCATAACATCCATTACGCATCCATCCATGCCATCCATCCATCATCCATCCATCCATCCATCCATACCATTCCATCCATTCCATCATGCCATCCATCCATCCATCCATCCACATCCATCCATTCATCCATCCATCGCATCCTCCATGCCATCCCCCATCTATCCATCCATCCATCCATCCATCCATCCATCCATCCATCCTATCCATTCATCATGCATGCCATGCCATCCATCCATGCCATCAGATCCATCCATTAAATCCATCCATATCCATCCATCCATCCATCCATTCATTCATCCATCCATCCATCCATACACATACATCCATCTATCCAATGACTATCCTACTATCCATTCTATCCATGTCATCCATCCTTCCACCATTCATCCTAACCAGAATTCCATCCATCCACCCATCTATCCATCCATCCATCATCCATCCATAAGCCATCCATCCATCCCATCCCATCATCCATCCATCCCATACCATGACATCCATGCCATCATCCACTTCGATCCATCATACCATCATCCATCCATCCATCATACCATTCCATCGATCCATCCATCTTTCATCCTCCAACCACATCCATCCATTCATTCATCGCACGATCTCATCCATTCCATCCATCCATCCATCCACGCTCTATCCATCCATACTATGCCATCTATCCATCCATCCATCCACACCATGGCTATCTATCCATCTATCCGCCATCCATCCATCCATCCCATACATGCATACCTCGCTCCATCCATCCATCCACATCCATCCCATCCATCCATCCATGACCATCCACCATAGCATCGCCATCATCATCCATCTATCCATCCATGCCATTCCAAAAAATCCCCAAAATGCCATCCATGCCATGCCAGTCCATGCATCCATGACCATCCATCCATGCCATCATCCTCCCATCATCCATCCATGCCATCCATCCGTCCATCTATGCCATCACATACCAATCTATGCCATCCCATCCATATTCCATCCATCCTCCATCCACGCTCATCTATCATCCCAATTTCATCCATACCATCCATCCATCCATACATCCATCCATCCATCGCATCCATCCACTATCCATCCATCCATCCATCCATCCATCCCATCGCATCCATCTATCCCATCGCCATCAAATCACCCATTCCCATACCATCATTTTGTTCCATGGCCTATTCCATGCCATCATCCATACATCCATCTCATCCATCATCCATGCCATCCATGGCCATCATGACCATCCATCCATCGCATGCCCGGTGCCATCTTTCCATGAGAGACAAACCGACTGCTCCATCATGACATACCAACATCATCCATCCATCCTCCTCCTACGCTGAACCATCCATTCCATCCATCGCATCCATCCATTCCATCCATACCATATCCATCCATCCGATCCATCCATCCATCCTCAACATGTCCATCCATCCCATCCATACATCCATCCATCCATGTCATTAAATTGCCATCATCCATCATCCATCCATCCACACCATGCCTATCATCCATCTCATTCCATTTCCATCCATACCATCCATTCCATGCCATAGACATTCATCCATCCATCCATCCATCCATGCTCATGCCATCCAATCCAATCATTAATATCCATCTCCATCTATCATCATCCATCATCCATCCATCCATCCATTGCATCCATTCTAATTCCCATCTAATCTATCTACCATCTATCGCATCCTTCCATCCATCCTTCCATCCATTCATCCATTTCCATATCCATCCATCCACGCCATCATCTAATCACAGTCCATCCAGTCCATCCATACATCCATCATCCATCATCCATCCATCCATCATCCATTCCATACCATCCATCATCGCATCCATCCATCCATCCATCATCCCATCCATCCAGCAGCGCGCCATCCATCCATCCATCATCATTCCAATACATCCATGCCATCCATCCATCCATCATCTATCGCATCATCCATCCATCCATCCATCCATCCATCCATCCATCCATCCATCCATCCATCCATCCATCCATCCATCCATCTATTCATCTATCCATCCATCCATCCATCCATCCCTCCGCAGCCTCAATAATTCTTTCAGCCATTCGGTGACAAGCCTGTCGGCTGTATCGTCTTGCGGACCCAAGGCGGAAAACAGCTTTATAACACGCGTGTGATGAAAATATGCACCGCACGCAAAACGGATTGATCGGACGCATCCAGGCAACGTTAACATGCGCGTCCTAGCACCTTCACCAAGCACACGCGCTCACACACGCACACGCACGCACATTCACACGCACACACCACACACACTCTCTTTTCTCTCTGACACACATGCACACGCACGTACACGCGGGCACACGCACACACTCGCGCTCATACATACGCCACCCACGTGGGGGTAAATATAGCGTAATATATAAACGTTTAAAACGCATAATATATGTAATATGACGTAACAATTTCCAAATCTCGATTTTCTGACGCAGCAGCAGCATCTGCATTGAATAGAACGTGGTCGTGTTAAATAATCGTTATAGGAAGTGAAGGTGGCGACTTGCGAGAACCATTAGAGTTAATGCGATAGCGCTGTCATGCTAAACAATCTCTCATGCTAAACAAATACGATGACAAATTATTATCGCAGTGCTAATGTAACTATACTGAGAAGGGCCTGGCTAACGGCGCTAGAATGTTGGGGACATATACTATCGGCGTATGTAACGACAACAGCCCATTCTGTTTTCTAGGTAAATATTTCGCCTGCATTATGCTGATGTGCGCGCTTTCGGTGATGTTCTCTGTCATCTCGCTCAATATGCATCATCGCACACCGGACACGTATCAGATGCCAAACTGGGTAAGTTTGAATCGAATTGCAAAACCGATCGCTTCGCATTCGAGCGACTGACAACACTCATCTGCGATTTTTCTCTCGACCGCGCGCTCGTTCGCGCGGGTGTGCGGGCGTGCGGGTGCGTTATGTGCATGCGTACGTATGAGTAGGTTTGTATGCGTATGCTCGTGCGTGCGTGCGTGCGTGCGTGTATGTATGTGTATCGGTGGGTGATTGCGCAGGCGCGCGAGCGCGTGTGTGCGTCAAGCCACAACTTAGCCAACATCAAAGATTCTATATTATTCACATCCACCGTATTCACGTAACATTTTTGGGCTCAAGCCGTATCATTGTACATCTATTTGCTAAGATGCCTCCTACGACAGCGCTTTCGCGTTGCATTTTCCAGATGAGAATAGTCTTCTTACGATGGCTGCCGAAATTACTGCGCATGCGCTCGCCGGCGGGCACGGAGAAGAATCTACAGCGCAACGTCGTCAACTCGAAATTGAAAGAGATTGAGTTGAAGGAGCGCTGCTCCCGCAGCCTGCTCGCCAACGTGCTCGACTGCGACGACGACTTCCACGCTGGTAACAGCATGTCAATGTTCGCCAACAAGAACGGATCCGCCTGCGACGACGGCCACGTGGCGCAGACGTCGCCGCACGGGGGCGCTCCGAGCGAGCTGTCGCTAATCCTGAAGGAGCTGCGTACGATCACGCGCTTCATGCAGCGCGACGACGACGAGCGACATATGAACAACGAGTGGCACTTCCTCGCGATGGTCGTCGATAGACTGTGTCTGTACGTCTTCAGTATTTACACGCTCGTCGCCATCATCACCGTCCTCGTCCGTGCGCCGAATCTGCTTTAGTCTGGCGTCACGTTGCCATGAAGATCACCGCAATTTACATGCGCTCCCCTCAAGATCGCTCCCCCCTCCCCCGACTTCTCCGGTGTCGATGCTTGCGATTGATTCCGATAGATGGCGCCTAGTGCACGTGTCCGCGACTGCCTTCTTGGTTTAGAAACAGAAGATGAGGAAGGCTAAACTGCATGCAGCGCCCCTTTCCTACACTCAAGATACCATGATAGATAATAATGATGATGATGATGATGATAGATTAAGCCCATGAGCGAGAGCGCCATCTGTCGTGGAGTTTGGATAAAGGCGCCTGTATAGCTGTGGAGCACTCGACGCTATGGCTGGATGCCTCGGGGGCAAGAGACGTAGACTGTCTGACTGAAGCGAACAGACGCAAATCAAAGCAATTAGTTAAAGAATTTGTTTGCATCGCCTCTGGCTTCAGTTCATTAAAAATTCGCGTCGCATTTCAGCAGTTTGAAACTTGGTCGACCGACGGCGTGGATTTACAGTGCGCCAAGGATCTGAACTATAGACTAGCCCAAGCATCGGTGGGAACAGATCTACGTCACGGTTAGGCTGCATCCAATATAAAAACTTGCTCAAGATATTTGACAAACGTGCCAGGCTGTTGTTTTGAATTATTTCTACAAATCATTATATTTGTAATAATATAATGATGTATAAACTTAAATCTATATATGTACCATACTGATTAGGTAAGATCAAATATTTAATTAACAGTATCATGTCAAGAATGTACTGTGTTACTCTTGGACATTAATATTATGGCTTTCATAGTCTGTTTACCAATAAGTACTACAGTCGAGTTAGAAATCGGCTCATGTATGTAATACACGTAGCGTATATAACTCATCAGCTAAACATTCTTCTCTTTTCCAGTAGTTCAAGATCAAGTTAATTAACCTGATTTTAAATTCCAATTAGATTTTAGTAATGAGAACAAGCATTTCCACTGTTTTTACGATGGCGCAAGTCACCCTTAAGGACATACCGCATATTGATATAGACGCACTTAAGGGAACTGTTGATCGAAATTCCAGATAACCCCGGAAATCGATAAAAACGTAAATCTTCGTCAGATTTTGCAGTGAAAAGGAATATTAACATTGGGCTCTGTGAGTAATCGGAAAACGTGACTTATAACAGCGGTCTACCTTCAGCGTGAATAAAAAACCGTACCGAGCGCCGGCACATACGTTTCATTAAGGCCGAAACTTAAATATGGTATCATTAAAATTCCACACGATCTGATCATTTTACGCTGCATTTGATCATGTTGTCACGGCATTAGACAAAGTGCAATGCTTGTCATAGCACTAGCAATGGTTTCGTAGATATCTAAGAGGTTTGATTAGCCAATTTTGCATTCGTGTGACATGTTGCCTTGAAAATAATCTTGGACTTACATATATAATTATATAAAAGTATATATTATTTATATATATTAGTTATATTATAATATAAACCGGGTTCATAAGAGACGGCGACAAATGTCAACCAACGCGAAATGTCGCGATCAAACGTTGATAACGTGCACGGAATACATAAAACCTGAATATTATCAATCACTATGCTATCAAACGGAAAAATATATGTCAGTGAGACGATGAGTCATCGCTTGCCCAGACGCCGTAATCATATGAACACCATACACCTATAGACGTCGTAAACATGTAAACACCACACATCTACAGACGTCGTAAACATGTGAACACCACACATCTACAGACGTCATAAACATGTGAACACCACACATCTACAGACGTCGTAAACATGTGAACACCACACATCTACAGACGCCGTAAAAATGTGAACACCACACATCTACAGACGTCGTAAACATGTAAACACCACACATCTACAGACGTCGTAAACATGTGAACACCACACATCTACGGACGCCGTAAACATGTGAACACCACACATCTACAGACGTCGTAAACATGTGAACACCACACATCTACGGACGCCGTAAACATGTGAAAACCACACATTCTACGGACGGCCCGTAAACATGTGAACCCAAACATCTACAGACGTCGTAAACATGTGACACACACACACAATACTACGGACGCTCGTAAACATGTGAAAACACCACACATCTGAACGGACGGCCCGTAAACATGCTGAACACCACACATACTACGGACAGCCGTAACATGTAAACACCACACATACTACCAGACGGCCGTAAACAATTTGTGACACCACAAAGCATCTAGCAGACGTCGTAAAACATAGTGAAGCACCACACATTCCTACAGACGTCGTAAAAACAATGTGAAGCACGCACGCATGGCTACGGGAAGCGGCCTGCGTAAAAGATGTAAACAGAACGAGGGGCGAGCGAGATCTCCGAACAAGCATGCTACAGACGGTGGTCGTCGTAAACATGTGAACACCACACATCTACAGAACGGTCGGGTAAAAGAACGAGTGTATAAGCACCAACACAGTGGGTCAGCGACGGACAGCCGTAAACATGTGAAAGCACACGAACACATCTAACGACGTCGTAAACATGTGAACGACCAACATCTACAGGACGTCGTGAAACATGTGACACACACACAGCGTAGGGTCGCTACAGACGTCGTAAACATTAAACACCGACAGCATCTACATGACGTGCGTAACATGTTATGAACACACACGATCAATCTAAGACGTTCGTAACACATGAATGAACCACCCGCCCGCAGAGCGCCATCTACGGAACGCTGTTTGGGGGGGAGCGCACGGGGATAGAGATTGTAATCGCGGTGGACATCGGCGGCGGCAGTACTGAATTACACCTATGTGTAGACTATGTGTGTAGGGGTGGAGCCTTACACCGGGTACACGTGCATACAAAACGGACTGAGCGTCATGCACGAAATCGGTGGGAGCAAGGAATAGTGTATGACTCCGATACTTGCACTTACAGAATACCCGTACGCGATACAGAACAGCGGGACCCGGGCCCCAGTGGGGTAGGCCGTACCATTACAGACAACCCGCATGGCCGCTCCCATCAGACACCCGTCGCCGAGTGACGGCGATCCGTACGATTAGCAGAAAACGGTTCAAATATCGCGCACAGTTACCGCTTGTCTAATAGACGCATGTGCCTAAAATCATATAGTACTAAACGGTACCCTGAACCTCTTACTTAACGGCTGACTCGCGGTATTTTGGCAGATGAGAGTTTACCTTGACGCACGCATGAGGAAAGGGATTGATTGTGCTTATGTCAGTTGTCCCGCACAAGGGGCGGCGCATACCGCCCCCGTTATCGTCAAATAATCTCTGCGAGGGAAGGTTGAAAACCATAAACAGCGGTTTGGGCACTTCGGTGGTCCTAGTTAGTCTAGACTCATGTGTAGGATATAATCGAGTAAAACATGAAGGCGGACCTTGCTGGCCGAGAATGTACATATCTGTACATTAGGCACCGGCGGCGGGTGTCAGAGCCCGTCAAGTAGTCCAGTCGAGATATACGGAGGATGTTTAACAGAGAGCGGCCAAACAGGACCAGAAGCGCAGTGAATACATGTGCTCATCGAGTGTGTTTCACCCCCGAGTGTGATTAATGAACAGTCCAGGGTGAAAGGCATACAGAAACGATGTTATTGTTGTTTATATTTTTGTTGCGAAAAACTGAATTTACGGCACCCCTGCCGTTAAACGCTCATACAGATTGATTATGATGCCATTTTTGAAGACAAGCACGGCAGTTAGTTTTATTTAATCGATGAAATCAACGCATAATGATTAGTAATAATGAGATTCTGTGACTGGCGAGAGGCGCCTTTGATAATTAAAGTTTGGTAATAAATTTGTGTTACGCAGTGACATTATGTTCGCATATATGGGAGCGTGTTCTAAGAGATTTATAAGATTTTCCTAAAAGGAAAACGTATGCCCACTGTCACTTAGGTAGAAATAAGTGAATTACTTTAAGATTAATTAGTGTTTGCATAAATTTCAATGTTCGGATGTGTTGATAAGCGGGGAGCCGCTTTTTTTCATTTAGGTTTTGACCCAATATCTTGAAGTATAGATCATGATTAAGAAATATATCACGGCTAAATGGTATCGTTGAGCTACGTGGTCGAACGTGGATTTGCGAAAGATGTACGTTAATAAGCAATTTTTTATATCCTTTTCTTGTTTAGAACACACTTAACTTCTAAATAGCAGGAAACACGGTATAGTTTTTCATGGCATATTCACAATAAGTAATAGTTAATGCCATTCCAGTCACAGTACGAACAATTCGCGGAGGAAGGGTGCAATAGAAATACGTGCAGCGATAGAATATATATCAAACACATGGGTCTTGATTCTTGTATAAGGGCCTATATAATATATAGCGTGTGGCAGCTTAGAGTCCTTTTTATCTATATAACTCTGCAGCGCGCAATCTGTGGTGGAAATAACACCACCGACTTACGTATTCGCTAATCTTATGCAGAGCCATAGAAACACCGCGCTTGAAGACGTGGTAACTGATAACAGCTTTTGCCCGTGTAGACTGCGTGCTTGAGTGCATGTGTGCGTTGCATGTGTGCGTGCGTAGTGCTGGCGTGCATTCAGTGTGCGATAGCGCGTGTGGCCTGCATGGTCGTGCGTGTGTGCGTGCGTGTGGCCTACGTGCTTTGAGAATGTGTGTGATGGTGTGTGTGGTGTGTGCAAGTGCTGATGTGTGTGTGCGTGTGTGCGTGCACGTGCGTGCGTGTGTGTGTGGGTGTGTGTGTGTGTGTGTGTGGTGGTGTGGTGTGTGTGTGTGTGTGCTGTGGTGTGGGTTTCTGTGTGTGTGTGCTGTGTGTGTGTGTGTGTGTGGTGCGTCGTGCAATACGGTGGCGGTGCGTGTGCCAGTGTGCGTGTGCGGTGTGCGTGTGCGTGTGCGAGTCGTGCGTGTGCGTGTCGCGTGTGCGTAGCCGCGGGTGCGTGTCGCGTGTGAGGCGTGTGCGTGTGCGTGTCCGCGTGTGCGTGTGCTGTGGCCATTGTGTGAAAGTAATCGAGCGTGGTCGGCCTAAACGACACGGGAGACGCTATGGGCCATGCGTCAAAATTGCTATGAGATGATTCACTTGGGTTTATAAGACATGACAACGTATTGCGTAAGGGGCTAGAGGACACACCCCGTAGATCAACTGAGATGGGCTAACTGAGATTTACTGGACCGATTACATGGCCCGAAGAGCATGTACCGCCCGTGCCCGGAGCATTGCAGTGTCCATATGGCACACCGAGGCAGCCCACAACTCTCCGATATTCTCCCATCACTAGCTGCGAATCTTCCGTCGACGATCGGTCTAACTCAATGCGACGCCGCGATGCCCCCATAAACGATCACGGGTAAAAGAATGCTTGCGTCGCCCTCAACACAGCCGTTCCGCGCTCGGTCCACCCCCAACGCGCCCACGAGGAATAGCTTACCGGTTTCTCTCTTGTATTGCGCATACACTATTCGTCCCGCTGTGAAAAAGCTTGTCAATATGGTGTTGATCGTAAGGTAGTGTCTGTGTTTGTGTGAGAATGCGATAAAAAACAGACGGCGCAGAGAATCTCGGAATAGTAATGAAGAACAACGGACAGAAGTGAGCAGAGAAAGGGACGCAAGCGAACATAGGAGAGAAGCAGAGAGGAAGAGAACGCGAGAGAGACAGAGAACGAGGCCGACGAGACAGAGAGCGACGCGAGAGACAGAGAGCCGAGCTGAGAGACATCAGAGAAAGAGAGAGAGAGAGAGAGGAGAGAAGAAGAGAGAGAGAGAGCGGAGAGGAGAGAGCGAGCGAGAGGGAAGAGAAGGCAGATGAGAGACAGAGAAGCGAGCGAGAGACAGAGAGCGGAGGCCGAGAGAGAGAGAGAGAGAGAGAGAGAGAGAGAGAGAGAGAGAGAGAGAGAGAGAGAGCGCGCGCGCGCGTGAGAGACATGCAGGGAGCGAGAGTGTGAAATAGCTCTATAGCTAGACGTAAGCCGATCCTATATGAGATACTAATCTAGCAGTCACGCCACCGCCGACATGTACACGGATTCGGAAGCATTCTCCGTCAGCAAGGAGAGCGAGCGCATGTTCGGCGGTCGCCGAGGCGGCTGCTTCTGCTCAACAGCCGTCATCGTCATCGTCACGCTACTCGTCCTCGCCGCGCTCGTCGCCGTCGGTCTCATCGTCGCCTACACCGTCCCGCGATCCGACGCAGGCGGTCGGCAGCAGCCGCGGATCGGCGCGCGCGACGGCGCCGTGCAGGGAAAGGGGAAGCCGGAACCGGGGCCGCGAGGAAAACCGGAAGGAAAGCCGGAAGGTGAGCCGGAAGCGGAACCGGAAGGGAAGCCGGAAGCGGAACCCGAAGGAGGAGCGGAAGGGAAATCGAAGTCGGCAGTCGCCGCGCGGCTTCCGACGCACATCGTGCCAACGAACTACGAGATCGAGCTGCAGCCGTATCTGAA